TGTGACTCACAACCCTGACCCTGCACAAGCTGATCAGGGAAGACCCCAGCCGGACCCCACAGCCTGAGTCTCTCGGGGGGGAAAATACACAGTGATGGACCTCGAGGGAAAGCAGGCCCAGCTTCCAGAGGGGCCCACATTTTGCCTGGGTTAAAAACAGCAGTGAACCAGGATGAGAGTGCAGGAAAAGGGGTCCCCAGGGCACAAAGTGACTCCCAAGGACAGGCAGGTCATCTAAGGCAAGAGCCCCCCCACCCTGGTGAAACCCCAAGGGAGAGTGGGCCCTGGGACCAAGACAGAGGCGTGAGTTTGGGTGTGGGTTCACTAGCACAAGCCTGTTCTCCATAGAAGCCTCTGTTTTCAGGGTTGACCAGGTTAGGGAGGTGGTTTCTGCATGGCAGTTTCCTGCTCTGGAGAGGTGCCCACACCCGCGCACATCTCCCCAGCTCTCCCCCGGCTAGCGCGGGGGCTCAGCTTCCAAAGTAGGTCCTCTCCCTGTGGCCTGGACAGGAGGCGGTCTCCACTGGGTGCCTCACCCACTGGGCGCCCCCAGCACCCAGGGAGCTTTGGTTGTGCACCAGCTGCTGCTTCTCCAGCCCTTGGGGCAGGGCCCAAACGGGCAATGCCGTTGCCCATCGCCCTTCTTAGCCAGCCTCCGTGGGTACCAACCCACCCACCAGGCTCTCTGTGCCCACAGGGCGCCTCCAGGTAGCTGGGCGCCCCTTGGCGGCTTGGGGCAGGGACAGGCGCGGAGCCTGGAGCACAAGGGCTTGCGCCCCCACTCCCCTTTCCAGGTCCGCCACTGCTGCGTTTAACCCCATCCTTCCTGGGGTTACTCAGTCGGAGGCCCTGATCCCAGGCCCCAGCCTCCAAGACCCTGGCCCCCCAAGTTTGCCCCTGGGTCTGTAGGCCTGTGCTTCGCTCGGAGGAGAGCACGGAAGCGCTACCTTGGCGCCCGCTGCCCGCCAGGCTCACCCCCTGCTCCCCCAGCCCCTTCATTTTGGCCTTTGTCTGCAGACCCGGTCGTGGTGGCTGCACAAGGAGCCGATGGCAGTTGTCCGCCGGGCGGCAGGAGTTTCTCCCGTCTCGGCCCCAACTGCCCTGCGGGCCTCCAGAGCCCGGCCGACAGCGCGGGGCTCCCCGCCCGATTTTGTTGGGGTGGAGACTTCGCTCTCCCTAATTGTTGGGCGTCTCTACCAACCCAGTGACGAGGACTCCGCGAGCCAACGCCGCTCTCTTCGCGTTCGTTTTCTCCGAGCGTCCCCACGCCCAGCTGGAGGAGTGTGGGAAGTCAGGGGACAGCAAAGCTGCGGGGAAAGCCACCCTCCTCCGGCCTCGTTTTATGAAAAAACGGGAGGCCAGATCCGCAGCCAGGCGCCCAGCGTCTCCGGGAGCGCTCCGCCACCCGCAGCTGCGCGATATGTGATCTGTGACACGCGCGTCGATGTTATAAATCCCGCGTGTCTAGAAGCCTCTGTCCTCTCTCCGAGAGGTCCCCTTTTGTGCAGACACCCCCGGAAGTATGCGGGACGGTTTTCCGTAAGCCGGCCCTCTCCAAACCCCGCAGGGGAGAAGGGATGGGGCTCAGAGGGAGCCCGGGGCCTCGCTTTGTGCTGGGGAGACACACGTGTCCGCGGATGGCTCGCCTGATGGCGCACGGAGAGGCCGACCCTGAGGGCCGCGGCGCGTCCGGGTCAGAGAGCGGAGCAGCGCGGCTCGCTGGGCTCCAGGCCGCGGGGCTCAGCGGCCGCACGTCCCGCCCAGGAACCGGGAGATTTGGAAATGCGGGTTTCCCCGCGTCCCCAGAAAGCACAGCCAGGGCGGACAGGGTCCCAGATCCGGCAGGAGGCCGGCGCTGGGCCTCTAGCACGTTTTCAGAAGCTTCGGGGGAGCAGTTTGTTGAGATTTCTGTGTGTATAAGACAGGAGGATTCCCTCAGCTTCCTCCTTCCCCCTCAGCAAGCCATCTCCGTGCAGCTCCAGCCCACATTCCCGCGGCCTCCCCGGCCCCCGCCCCCACTGTTTGAATGGGGCCCACTTTCAAGGGGTGCTCTTTTCCAGAATTATGTTCATGTTTGGGTGGGCTTCGGGAGGCCTGAGACCGTTTTCTAATTATTTCTTCCCTCTTTCCCGTCCTCGCTTTGCTCCCGGCCCCCCATCCCCCTCTCCTCAGACCAGACTGACCCCATAGCCTGGAGACGGCGAGTCCAGATGTGCCCAGAGATAACCTGCTGCCGGAGAGTCCACGTGGCAGCCATGACTTTGGGGCTGAGTGGCAGGAAGGAACACAGCGGAAGTGCGGTGCCTTGGGCTCATTTAATGCCGAGGCACTCGTAGGGGATGGTGCCCGAGACACTGGAAAATGTTTCTCAGGAGGGAGCCTAATTGGTTTTCATGGGACGGGTGAGAAATGAACCCGGCCGGCTTTGCAGGAAGCAATCCAGCCCTGGGCCCTCCCTCCACCCACTCCGCCTTCCCCAGACCCAAAGTAATTGGACATTACCTGGCTGGTGATGATTAGGGTTCCCAGAGCGCCAGGAAATTTCCTCCCCAAGCCCTAAACATGTGTCAATAAGGTGTTCCCACAGAACTCATCAGCCCCATTTTCCTAGGGGCAGGCAGACGGGGAGGGGGGGTAAATTTTTGATACTCAGGCAGGGCCCCTGCAGGCAGGTGTGTGACTAGCCAGGGAATTTGGTGTGGACCCCTTCAATGGAGGGGGGGGGCAACAGGAGGAGGGGTGTGAGTCAACCCAAGTAAGAAGTGGCTTCCCCATCTGCTTGAGCCTCACAGAGGACCCATGATCCTCCCCCTCTGCCTCCAGGGCCTACCAAGCCCAGCACATACCTGCCTCAGCCACCTTTGGCAGCCAGGTGACCCAGTCCAGCTCTTCCTCCCACCCCCCTCCAGGACCCTCAACAGGTTAATTTCCCTGTGAGCAGATCTTGTACTGTTGCTTCTTGTCCCACCCCAGCCTGCACCCTGGAGCCTGCATGGGTGAACAGAGCTGCTGTGGAGAGAGGACAGGGTGGGGACAGGAGGAGCGCTGAGCCAGGCTAAGGGAATGCTTTCAAGCCTCAGGGTGGCCTGACCATCACACTGCCTGGAGGACTGACTGCCCAGTGTCTCCTGGCCTGGCAGCACCCCACTGGCAGAGCCAGGCCCAGAGTCAGCTCTGCTGTGGGCCTCAGCTGCTGGGCACCCTGCAGCCACCTGGGCCAGCCAGTCCTAGGGCACCGGCTCTCCCTCCTCTCCTTCTCACACCCCCTTTCCAGTGAGGGCACTTTTACTGTGCCAGGGCTGCCTGCAACCTCAAAGTCCCCCTTTTAGCTGTTTTCTGAACTTTGCAAATTTCCATAAAAATTCATTTTAAATGATGGACAGGCACGCCAGAGAGCACAAGGGTGTTTGGGGTGGGGGTGTCTGCAGCTGGGGGCAAAGAGAGAAGAGCAAACAGAAAGGAGCAGAAGGGAGATGAGGGAAGAGAAGAGGAAACAAGCTCACGTTGGATATTCTGACAGCAAGCTGGAAAGAAAGTTTAGAAAGGAGTAGAGACGGAGAACAGAGGAGAAACAAACTGCCCCCCCAACACACACACACAGCATTTGATTCCTAATTCCCCTTTCAGATGGGCCCTGCTCTCCTATGGAACGAGTTTAAAAGGGTTTTAAGACAAAGGAAATGGGGTGAAAGGCCTGGTAGCCCCGCAATCAGTGTGTGAGGTGGGGGCGTGTGATTGGCTGGGAATTGGGAGGGGTAGGCAGCTGCTCTGGGGCACTTCCTCTCCGATGGTTTTGAAGGTTTGGCTGAAGCGCCAGCCTCCTTTCCTTTCCAAACAAGAAGATTCAGTGATAACCCCCATGCTCCTTTATTTCTTTCCCCACACGGAGCCCGAAACCGTGTTCCCGCGCTCTTCCAGGTCCACATGCACGCTTCACGAGGACCGGTGTCCCCAGTGGGATCCTGCCGTATGCACGCGCCGCCCTCCACACGCGCACACACATGCACACTTACAATAAGTGTCTACAGGAGGAGGGTCCTGCGCGTCAGCTCTGCGTTTAACACAGGAATCTGCCGGGTCACCCAAGTCAAACGTAAGTGACAACTTCCCTCTCCGCCAGCAAGGAAAGCGGACTACAAAAGTCTCTTTGTATCTCGGCAGCTCATTTAATATGATTTATGCATTTTTTTTGTGCAAGGAATTGTGGGATTTTTCCCCACGGTAAACAATATGGAAATGTTAAAAATAGCAATCTTCCAGCGCGTGTCCACGTACGCACACACACGGGTGACCCGGAGGGGCTGTCGCGGCGGCGCCCCAGGTCCCTGAACCGAGAAGCGACGAGGGAGGCGCGGGCGAGCGCAGGGTACACGGTCGCGGCGTCGCTGGGTGCCGAGCTCCCGCAGCCGTCGCCGGAGGACGCGGCCGCTTTAAGGGGGGGAGGGGCGGCGGCGGCGGGGGAGGGGCGGCTCCTGTCACCAAGCGGCGGCGGGCGCGTCACGTGGGCGCGCGGCGCCGCGGCCATTGGCCCGAGGCACGTGTCCAGGAGACCGGCCGGCGACGTCACTCGAGGGGGCTCTGTTAAAAATAAGAACAAAAATCCAGAGTGAAAGTGTCTCGGGTTGCGCGAAGTGGCCTGGAATCTCCGAGCCGGCGCGGAGGCCGAGGCGGCGAGGGCGCGCAGACCGCGAGGGAGCGCGGGCGGCTCAGCCCGGCGCGGCCCGGCCCGGCC